ATATATATATATATGGGAGGAAACCATAGTACCTGGAGAAAAGCCACACAAACATGGAAAGCACATCGGAATCCACACAGAAAGACGAAAGGTGAACTTGTGACTTCCTTGCTGTCAGGTTACATTAACTACTGCTCCACTGTGTAGTTGCAATACTTACAGGTTAATTGATAGATGTATGTTTGATTATTCTGTTGTGCTCAAGCATGCATGCATTGTCTACTGAGTGGAATTTACAAACACACGCACGCACGCACGCAAGCATGCACTGAAGCAAACCGTATAGTAAAGCAGCAGTAGGAATATCTCCCACAAAAGAATATGGTAATTAACGGTAATTCAAACCTACATCCACAGTTGCAATTTATTCAAAACCTGGTAGTAACGTTTGCTGACCCGCAGGTAGCTCCTGCTGTGATTCAGTAATCTAAAGTGAGGAAAGGCAAATAAACAGGAGCGCATGTGAAAACGCATGCAAACACCTACATCAACATCCTTGAAATTGTTTATCGTCTCCTGTTCTCGACAAGCATTATCTCACCTCTCCTCTTGCTCTCCTTGACAAGTTTCCTTCCGTCTCTTTTTGCCCTGACACTTTGCGAACATTAGTGCTGGCACAGCATTCCCACAAGACTTTGATATAACCTTTCTTTACGCTCAGCCAATAGGACCCTCTCACTGAGGTCAGCAGGCAAACAGAACACAGTGATGATGGCGATAGTTGCCATGCAGCACAGTAACAGGTAACACTGCAGATGCTGGACTAGAACTATCTCTGCTAGGTTTCCAGTTGGTCTGGTACTTTTGTTTGAGGACAAATGATAAAATGGTAATGGACTGAACTTATATAGCCACGACACAACAGAGCTGTAGCTGGAGCATCACCATTAGCACAAAGGGCTTTCATTAAAACAYACACATTTACAGATTGTCAAGAGGAGGATTAAAATGGCCAAAAATGTCTTTATCTTGTGTTTGCTGCAGACAGAAGCACAAACATTCACACASATGCCAAATATTCCCCTCGTTCAGAAAYGAAAAACATTGCGAGGCTTAAACTGCCAAAGAATCGTAGACATTGTTCCAAATATAACTTGACTTTATCAGAGGAAAATGTGAGCGCTAACATTCAAACAACACGACTTCACTCCATAACTGGATAGAAAACAATAACTCAAAAGTGTGTTTTTATAGTTTTTTAAAATGTGCAGTACTTGCATCATCTATTACATTGATATTATCAGTTTCACCAASACAAACTTATTTACTTAAAAGCAAATTTTAGGAGCTATCCCTCTTCAAACACAGAGATTCAAAATGCAAAAATCCCTTCATAAAATATAAATACTGACAACTAGATATGTGCTCAGGTCCTCATGAAAAAAAGGTGGGGAAAACAGAGCTAGATCAGCTTTTCTGCCACAGTAGGAGGTTTTACAGAAAGCCAATTTTAGATGAAAAGTTTCTCCTCAAAAGGATGAAGAATTACAGGCACAGCAGAAATCGTATTTACTTTTTTCAGTCAAAATTMATTTAGGTTGTCGACATGTTATTAAGTGCTTTTATTAGGAACTGTAAAAYGAAAGTGAAATAATTTAATAATAAAAACAGAAAACTCAAAAATAAAAATCAGATTTTCTACTTCCTTTTTGCCCTGAGGGCCACGTCAGCTTTTTTATTTGATTAAACCCCAGCTGGTGGGCTGTGCACCAGCTGGGCTCCAAGTAAACAACCTCGTGCTTCACTTTTTAAACAGAGTGGATGTTGTTGAAGAGTAATGACAGCCTCTACACAGAGCCAGGTACATTTACACTTGGCATAGAAAAGTCTATCCTTCTTTGATAGTGTGTATGCCAAATGTTAAACCCCAAACCCTCCATTAAATGGTGGTGGTGGGGTTTTATGCAAAATCAACTTTTTTTAAGCATTTTATGTTGGAATGTCATTCCTTCATCAAAAACATACCCGGGGTGTTGCTTTGACTCATTCATGCATGTTTAAGAAATCCTTGAATATCCTGTGGTAGCCACACGGAGGTGCATAGACACTTGTTGTGAAGACATGCTGAAGTGGGAGTGTCAGAAACAGTAAGAGGTTCTTAAAGAGACAGGGGCCAATTGCAAGGTGGMATAGTTACTTGATTGTTTTATAGAACTGAACTATGTGCCTGGAAAAAAAACACTCATTTAATAGTAAGCAATCTGTTAACTTAAAATCACTTTTTTTTACAGTTTGGTATGAAGCTATAGTTAAAAAAACCTCTTAAGTGAGTTAAAATATAAATCAATTAACATCRCCAAAACCTATTTAACTACGATAACATCTGCTGATGGTTATGCTCAGAATGGCCAGTTTMATTTTTTCCAAACATTGTCCTGCATTCAGCAACAATAAACAGATCCAATCAACTTTTATTMTTTTTTGTTTTTCTTTCTCCCCACCATGATTTAGGATCCATCACTCTTTAAAGCTTATAGCTACTGGCTGAGAGCCAGTGCAAATGTTTCAGCACAATTTGCTCCCTGCTGAGAGATCTAACCTGGCATATTCTCAAATGAATAAAAAAAATAAAWAAAATAAAAATAAATAAAAAAACAGCACATATTTGATGTCATACTCCAAAGCACAGCCAAGAAGTTTTGTTAGAAGTTTGTTTCCTTTTTTTTTTTTT